GCAGTCTGAAGGGTAACACAGGAAGAGGTTCAAATAAGTTCTCTCCGAATGATGGTACATTAGCTCCTGTTGTCATGATATTGCAAGGAACTCCATCGATATGCCCATTGATGGACAGTCCGTTACTGTTGCCACTCACTGTAGAAATCTTAAGCGCTTTAAAACAAGGTTTTTCATTCTCTGGCAACCTCCGTTCCTCGATATGGTCATTCACTTGTTTTCTCCGCCGTTGTTGGGAAATGGTCTCAATTTCTGTGCTCCGGTGTGTTGTGCAGTTCCTTCGCACATGGCCTTCAGCTCCACAGTTCCAGCACTGTTTTCTTGCCACTCGTTTTTCGTCCGATGGCATTTAGTTGTCTGTTCAACTCGTTTGTCATATTTTCCGTGCTTTGGGGTGTTCTGTAGTTCCCTCGCACGTGGCCTTTGACACCGCAGCTCCAGCACATTAGAACTGGTTTCTTTTCACTTCTGTTCTGTTTCAAGCCACTGACTTGTCTGGTAAAATTATCTGTTTTATTTTTCATACCCCGGGGTGTTCTGCAATTCCGTCGTAGGTGACCTTCAGAACCACATCTCCCACCTTAGAGCCACTTTGTTCTCACTGCTACTCCGTATCAAAACGCGACTTGTCGGATAAATCACTAAACGACCTCAATTGATCCATGGCTCGTGGACTTGTACAGCTCTGCCTGGGTAACAATCTCTACAAGTTTGCTTGCTGGGCTGCCTACTTTTTACGGCTTACAACAGAGTGCTTTTTATGTCCTTATCTGCCCATTCGCAAGCTTTCTGTATTTCAGTTATCCCTATGCCGTCGATGAATATTGCGAGACGGATTTCCCTTGTCTGTCGGCATTCCGAAAAGGCGATGGACAGCCTTCAACATCTGTGGCAAGCTCCTAAAGTGTTTCGTAGGCTTCTTGACGAGATTTAATTGGAGCTGCTGTATCTTTTAAACACTTTCTCCCCAAAGCGCAGCTCCAAGGCCGGACAGAGCTTCAAATCTAACCTTTTTTTGGGAAGAGCGAAGGATATCCCCTGCCCCTTTTTAAAGAACAGCGAGTGGCAGGCCTTAGTTGGGAACCCATCCATTCGCATCTGACGATGAAAATTGGTCCTTCACCGCCAGGAGATCTTCCCATCATATGTTGATAGCTTCATAGAGGGACGAGCAGGCATGGGTAGAAATTTTAAACCATCCAAAGTGCTCCCTGCCATTGCTACGAATTTCTTTAAATTATCAACTTCTCTGGCAACTGCGGAAACCCTGTCATCAATCTGTTGTTGGACGGCAGAAACTCTTCCTTCTATCCGTTGCTCCACAACGGAAACTCTTTCTTCTATTTGATCGTTCACTGAAGAAACTCTATAATCGATTTTTTGTTCTACGGCCGAAACTCTGTGTTCTATTTGTTGTTTGACAGAAGAAACATTTTCTTCAATTTGCACAACTTTGTTTTCAACTGCGCCTATTCTGCCTTCCATAGCCTCAAATTTATTTTCTATTATGCAGGTTATTTCCCTTTTTATCTCTTCCTGTCCTGCTTCAATCTTTTCTTGACCTGCTTCAATTTTTTTCTGACCAGATTTCATCTCCCCATTAATTTCTTATCTGAAAGATGTTTGGCCAGTTTCCATCTTTTCTTTGAACGCAGCAAAAGCACTGATGAGCTGCCTCAGTTGTTTTTCCATCGCTCTTGTTATTTGCATTCAAACCCCACTCCTGACACCAAAAATTGTTGCGTGCGTACAGGTTCATTATAAAATGAATGCACAAGTCCGATGAAAAATGGACAAAATTTATTATTAGCACAACAAAAAAATTCCTCAGAAATTCTTTCAGTATTACAATATCTCACAATAGTTATCTCTTAACTACTCAAACATTCAACAGAACTTAATTCAAAAATAGCTAGAGACACAGCTAGAGAAAGCTAATCCGCAAATTCGTTACAGTCAACAAGAGCAGTTTTCTAAACAAACTCTTAAAAACAACAACAAACTAACTAATCAAAAATCACACCAAACTGAGAGGTTTTCCTCCTTTTATAGGATTTTAAATCGTGTGTGAGAAATTTCTGGAATTTTCTCGAAAGCAAAAAGAGATATTTATTTATTAAATGTTAGATGCATGTGCTCTTGTGTCTTTAATTTTTCGGCTTAGCATTCCTTAATATTCTCAGGGCTGCATGCACGGAATAAACCAATTTAATTTATAATTCAATAACATTATATTTAAATACCAAATTCGTACAATATTTATTTGTTTTACTTAGAACATTTCCTTCAATGTAAGTTTTCTTAAGATGCTTCCAAAAAAAAATTAAAAGTTTCTTTTTCATGTGTTATATATAGTGGACTTTCCAATGCCTACTTTCACATAATTTTGAGATGGATAGCTTTATCCTTTTTGTCGCAATTCCATTTGTCTTTAATGCATTGAAACAGCTTTCGCTTTGTAGATCCTTCAGCGTCCAGAATTGGAAACTTTTTGACATAATCGAAGTTCAAGCTAATTTTTATAAATGTTCTAACAGTCTGCAAAAAATAATAGCCGGATCCAATTGGAAGACTAAGAACAGCGCAATCTGCAACATTAACTGAAATGCCTCAGATATTTTAGCCTAGCTTATACCGTCCCTTATACATTAAACGCGCATGCGTAAACGCAAAATGCGTTTACGCATGTGCATAAAGTTTGTAGTTTTAAGGTCCGGATTATAGATCACTCTAGATTATGGACGTCCAGATTATAAACTTTGTACTGTATATATTTTACTAAACAGTTTTACTGACTTATATACGGTTATGGTATAAATAAAAAAAAATAATACGATAGTTGTTTTTGATGCCTTTCCATAACACTTGTTATATTAAGTGTAAAATTAGTTAACAGTAATCGTAAATTATCGTGTTCTGTAATATAGAATGGATTTCTAATTTTTCTTAACAAAGTGTTAATGTGACTAAATCCTGCCTTAACCAAGTAAGAAGGAGGAAAAGCTAAAAATAATGGTTTGGTAATATAGGGTAATTTGATGTATTTTTTCCGAATTATCGTAACTGTTCCAAAATTTAGCATAACCACTATTTTAACCAAATTCTCCTTCAATTCAATCACTTCTTTTTGTAACGAAAAATCAGTATTGGTAATGTCGCTTTGAAATGGATTTGTAATACAAGATGGGATATCGAATCTTTCCAAATCTTTATAACAGGCATTGATATTTTCTTTAAATTGTTTTAAGTGATCATTGTAGATTTGAAGTCATCATTATTAGCTTTTTCAACAACACAAAGCTGCATCAAATGTTCAAAATCATTTCAAAAAGAAAATTATTTTGATTTAAAGTGGGAATAAACAAATCCATTTTGCAGCAAAACCCAAATGCGATTGATTCACGTTTTTTCTTTGTAATTTGTTTTCCATATTATTAACTAACGAGAAGATGTCTGCTTAAAAAAAAAAAAAAAAAAAAAAAAAAATGCTTTTTCAATTCAATTAACTTTGTTGCTGTAGGTTTATCAATTTCCAAAAGGAACTTGATTACTAAATGAAAGGTTCATGTTACAAAATTTAAGGGAAATGGTGCAATCATTTGCCTGTTGATTTGAAACTGCAGCTGAAAAAGGTTCCCGATGCCGGTATGATATTATGTTCAATAATAATTAATTCTACTTACAAATTTATTTTATTCTCGGAATGGTATTGCAAAAGAGAAGTTCAGGTATAAATAATTGCTTTTGTGTATTAATTTCCCATTTGCTGATAGGTCCTTAATTTTTTTCATTGATCCTCCTTAAAAGTGCTTAATATTCATATGCTGAAATGTGTACAAACCCTGTATACTTTTTGGTTTGATATTTTTATTAGAATACCATGAAAATTAAATGTTTATTTCCAGTTTGGTATTTTATTTTTCTGAATACATTTTTATAAATATTTAAAGCTAGAATGTATTAACCCTTTCCGGCACGCTACTCTTTAAAGTTGGAATTTTACCAAATTGGCCTAGGAGAGTATGCAGGTGTAATTTTACAAAGATTTCACAAACCATTTCCATTTTGTGGGTGTGTCCGAAGCGAACACGCTGAGCTGCACGAGCTGCGATAGGTGAGCATTGCTGTGAAGCACGTTACATAAAAACTTTTCTATGATTAAAACAGTAGAATCTGATGTGTAGCAATTAGCAAACCCAGGGTACACCATGGGGAGACCTGCTACAACACCAGCCCCAAAAGAAAACGAAAAAAAAAAAAAAAAAAAAAGGAAACCCATTGCTTCGACAATGCTGAGGCCTTTCCGAACCATTTACACAATTTTGAAATTTCTAGAAAAAAAATTATTAAATATATATACAAATAAAATCTACAGAAATCAAAACTAAGCAAACTACGCATGAGGAAAGCAAGAGAGAAAAAGGGTCTGCTCCGCTGAAAATTGAATAGCTAGTGAAAACAAAGCACCAAGGTCTTCAAAAAAAAACAGAGAAGAATAAAAACAAAAATAATCTGCGCCTCAGCTCCCCCATGTTGAAGCACAAGACAGATTCTTTGACTCATCCCACGTGAAGGCACTACCAGTAGTGTGTTTAGTCCAACAACCATAACTGAAGGCTCACTATACAGTATTTCAACATAAAAATTAAAAGTAATACAAATAGGCATTTACATCAAATACAAAATTATATAAATGTTTTTTTTTTGATATCTTTATATTACAAAAAATCTGAAACTTTCTTTGAAAAATCCGTCTTTAAAAACAATATATCTCAACGTTAATGATTTGCTTGTGTGGTGCTGCTATCTATTATTCATAAAAGAGATTAAAAGTAACCATTAGTGTAGTTTTCATGATATTTATTGATTATTTTCAGTGCCAAACACACTGCGCCGGAAAGGGAGTTTTCTCGGGATCTTTAATATTAAGAATAATCATTTTGTAATTTGATAAGTTAATTTTTAATGTTTCGTAATTACATATCACTTGTTTTTTTTAGGCATGAATTCCAATGAATGCTATAAATGCCATAAAATAGGCCACTTTGCTCGTGAATGTACTCAAAATGGAGGCATTAGATATATTGGATCAAGAAATCGTGGAGGCAGAGGTGGAAGAGTAGATATGCGTTCTCTTCCAAGAGGTTTGTAGTTTAATGTTAATTCTTTTGTTAATGTTTTACATTCTTATTGTTAATTTTATGATGTTGGTTATATTAATTATACATTATGACCAACATATAGTACTAATCAATGATTTGCATTTTTGATATAGCAGCTTCTGTACCAAGTAGCTAAGGTAGTCGACATACTTACTGCTAAAGCATGAGTTTTAATCCTCTATAAAGCCATGGTTCGAAACAAACTGGATTCTTATTTGAACCAGATACCCATTCAATGGTTTTGAATTCATAACATTTAACAGAGTTTAGGGTATAAACTCGATAAATTTGTGATGTGAAAATATATGTATTGCAGCATTATTTGTAAAACTATTTCTAATGCCCACAGCTCATTTTTTCCCTTTCACCATTTTTTTCATCAAATCACTTTTTTCAAAAGTCTAATAAAAAATCATTCATTTCAAATTTTAGTAACTTAAAAAAAAAAAAAAAAAAATAATGTAGGGATAGTTTTGTTGTTTTGACTTACCATTTTAATTTATTATTAAGTTATTTACCCGATTGTGAAAAGCTATCATAATAAATATTTAATTATCAGTCTTCTGTTGTACATTTATGTAGCCATTAGTAATCTGGTTTTGAAATAATAAAAAATTGTGTTATTTTGGCACTTGATGACTAGATAGGAGGACTTTCAAACATGTCTCATTTAAGTGAGAATTTCAGCATCATGTAAATAATGTGACGAATTCAAAAGACAAGAGGTAGCGTAAATAAATTTATTTGGGTTCTTTCTAGGCTATATGGAAGGAAAAGAAGAGGGGGGGAAAAGAAGGGAGGGGAAAAAATAAAAAAAAATAAAAATAATAAATATAATAATATTGTTCTCACAGTAGGGTGAATAAGTTCCTGTTTAGATGAAAGTTCTTGTTTAGATGAGGTAGTTCAAGATGAGGGTAGGCTCAAGATGAGGTTGTCTTGAATAAATCGAATCTCTAAGCCGGTGGTTGCCGGACTGAGGTGTCCAAGCAGGATGCTCTTCGTAAGGTAGCGGTGTACCTGGCTAACACGCTGTAAATCTCTTGGCAGAGGTATTAGTATCGCTCTACGCAGAGCAAAGCAAAAATCTGCTCATGGCCGAGCTGGAAAAACAGAGAGACATTTTCTCTCTCTACTAACTGCAACTAACTCTCACTCGCTCTAATGTCTGGAACTGCATTCCATGATTTTGTTCAAATTGTCCTGGGTCTGTCGGAAAACTTCTAGGACCCTTATTTGTCCATAATTTTTAGATCACATCTTGATTGGCGAGAGCACTTTGATTAAAAACTGGCTATGGTGAAGACAGCATGGGAAAAAGTCCGTGGGAACTTTTTGATTCCAACTGGGGGTCTCAAACTGGGTGGTCTGAGACACTGAACCTATAAACTGATGAAAAGGAACTGAACAATGTCTCCTTTCGAACAACTATAAGAGGAACAAAAGGCTGAGATTGTTTTGTGACTGCTGGTCACTTCCTCTTTCCGAGAATTCGCTAAGAAATACTCTGTCCGTGGGAAATTTTGAGGTGGTCATTCTTTTCCTCAGAACTTTGTGGTTGTCGATAAAATAGCTTAAGACGTTACAGCTATGTTCCTTCTGCCTTGGGAAAAACTTTTTTTGAGTTTAAGCGAGAGGAAAGTTCGCCTCACTACTGCACTAGTTCGCAAAATAACACACAGGAGGTAAATATCTCTGTCCTCTAGATAATTTTCTGAAGCATGTTTATACAAGAACATTGTTGCATTCAATAATAATAATACTACTAATAATAATGTCAGTAATAGATAGTTCACATATATGTCAATTAGGCATTACCCTGAGAGGACGAGAACTTAATTAAATTCATATATATATATATATATACACACACACAGATTACAATATGCTTAAGCAGGAAATAAAAATAATTTATATATAGTATTGTATATCTAGTATTATATTTGCACATCTTAAAAAAATACATATTCAATAACTGAAGAATCACATCCTAGCATAGAGTGTTTCCTCTAGATGACTCAGTCCACTGGCATTTATTTAGCCTTCCTGAGCGATAAGCAACCTCAAAGCTGCAAGGCTGCAACTATACTAGAAAGCTAAGGAACACAATAATTCCTACATAATTCAAAAAGCACCAACACACAATATACAAATACGAAGTACTTCAATAGACAAAACAATTATTGTACTCAAAACAAGTTCTCGACTCCTATTGGGACCTACTTCAGATAAAATCTCAATTTGTTTGGTGCGTTTTGGCACTTCTGAGCCTTCATTATGTCTGTGAGTTTTCCACTTATGGTTAAATCTTTTGTTCCTATCTTCCAAACTACTTTGCTAGTTATCTGTCTGATTTCAGAACAGCACATCGTGAATGGAAACGCTCCGGGGGTCTTCCTGCACTCCTTCCTTTCAGAGTTCTTTCTTCCGGGATTCCAGACAAAATTTCGTCCTGGCAGACCAGCGTCTTTTTCTTAGAAAAGTTTTACTTTCTTCGGAAATCTAAAGAAGCCCATGCACTTCGTGGGTTAATGACCGCTTTTGTTATCGTGATTTGTCCACTTCTTGACCAGTTGTCCGAATGGTGAGGACACTTCACCCTTTCTTTGCCTCGGGCCTTAGCTGATTCGACAGGGAAACTTCCTTTTTTCATCTGTATGGATTCCCTGACTTTCGTCTCCTTTCTTTTGTTTGGGTAACAGCTGCATCTTGTTGGGGCATCTTCGCTTGTACTACATTATCTTTACCAAAGATCTTTATTACGGTCAATCAACTGAGCTGTTCGATTATCCAATAAATAATATTCCTGATTTAGGTCTACTATTACTGCTGCTTTGGTAATTACCTTCCCAAAATTCCCTCCTTCGAGTTCTACTTGTGCAAGAGGCAATCGAATCGGTTGCGGGTTCAAAGGTTGCTTGATCAAGACAGTTTCCTCTAACAACATTTCTGATGTTACATGATCCCTTCCTATTAAGTTAATAGTGGATCCAGTATCTCTAAACATTTTAATCTTCGTCGCTACTTTCACAGTATATATAGGTTCAAGCACATGTTTGGGGTACCCAAAATATCCAAATTACTTACGACTTCCATGGATTCCGTCGTAGCTTTTAATTGCTGGCACTGGTATAGGAGATGATTCTCTGAGTTGCATTCATAGCATCTAGGTGCTCTTCGTTTTTCGAAAACATTTGACTTCCATTTCTCTGCAGTCTTTCCTTCTGCACCATCATCACCGCAACGTATTTGATCTGTCGGTTCATCCTTCATCCTTTCCTTAGTGTCTATTTCAGTGCTTTTAACAAAAGCTCTCGGTTTTTTTATGGACCTGTGTACTTCTTCATATTCATCTTAATTTTCTGACTAATTCAGAGGAAGATATTATATTCGGCAAATCATCCACGAAATGTTCGCAAATTTCGCCGTTTACACGACGTTTAATTTGATCTGTCAACATCAAGTCTTTCAGAGAATCAAAATCTTGCTCTTCCGCTCTGTTTAACCACTCATCCGGATAATTCCTCAGCTCGAAGGCAAAATCTTTATATCAAGTACCTGCACGCCGCTGGTGCTGAACAAATTTAACCCGCAAAACCTCTGGGCTCAACTTGAAACGTTGTAAAAGAATTTTCTTTACGTAAGTATAGTTATTGAGCTCCTCTTCCGGTTCCTGTAGAATAATAGAAATGATGTCCATTGGCAATAAAGCCATCAAATGCGACACCCAGTCTCCTTCGTCTACATTCGCTTTACGAGCCTGACGCTCAAACATCGATAAATAAAGAGAAATATCCGATGATTCGGGATTATATCTCCGCATTAAATTTTGCAATTTTCTTATTGACCTAGGAATATTATTATTCTGGGAATTTTCTCTAACACTGTTGGCGTTTGTTAATCTCAGTCGTTCCAATTCAAACTCTCTCTCCCTTTCCTTTTCTAGTCTCTGCTGTTCAGCTTCTTCGAGCCTACGCTGTTTTATCCGAGTTTCAATAATGGACTCTAGCGTTGCCTCAAATTTTTCGTCATAATGAGGACTCTGCACAATAAGGTTTATAAGATCCTGTATTTTTGCATTGGGGGGAATCTCCAAACCTAATTCCTCAGACAGATTTATGAGATCCTGTTTCCTACTCTTCCCAAGATATGACATATTTCAAATTCCAAAAATTTCAGATCATACACAAAATAAAATAGTTTTTCAAAAGTATTAGCTGCTTACAAAATCTTTCACACTTTAAAATTAAATAGAATAATACAAAATAATATTGCAATTTATGATATGCTTGACATAGACTACTATCAAAATCTTTCACAATATAACATTGCAATTTATGATATGCTTTACACAGACTACTTGCAATTAGCAAAATTTTATGGAATTAAAGCCAATTTAAAACAAATAATTTCAGCTTACAATTTTAAGTAATATATTTCAGCTCAAACAGGTAATAATGCTCAGTACAAAAAGCAAATTTCTAAAATATGTTTTGACAAAAGCAAAACAGAACTTAATTTATAAATAACAGATGCCTCTTAAATTTGAAAACTTGACATTAAAATTAGGTTTCTCAAAACCATTCAGGGTTATGAGTGACCTATCGATTTAAACATATAAATCTGACACAGCAATTTTCACATAATAAAATAAATATTGCGTCTACATGTTAATGCCAAATGATTACACCCCGTTTTCAGACAAGCAGACCACATCTTTCTAATCAATTCGAAGCACTGATCGACTATGCCTATTGGTTCCTTCTTATCACTAAGAAAACACACTTTTATCCACGTAGCAGGGAAATCACTATCACTGAACACTATTCAGGATGCAGCAAACATCATAATAGGTGTAATAGGGTCTTCTGGAGGGTGTATTCAGAGATAAGACGCTTAAACTTTCGTGGGGGTCGATAAAATATCTTAAGACGTGACAATGACCTATAGATATTTTGGAATTATTATTGAAAGACAATTTATAACTTTCTTATAAATATTTAAATATAAAATTATTCTTTTTCTCTTTCACTTTCTCTCTTTTTTTAAAATTTGTGTTTGTACCTATGTTTAATTTTGAGTAGCTGCTGTAGGCTGTTTTTTAAAAATAGAAATTTCAATGCCCTTGCCAGCCCTCCACATTTGAAACAGTAATTAATGTGCATTGCTATCGCAGCACTAATTTTTCCTTACTACAGCTAAGACTGTAGTTCAAGTCAGCCTTTATTTATGTGCTTTTCGTGAAGCAAATCTTAAATGGAAATGAAGTAGAGACAAAGCATTAGACAGTTCAAAGTATCTGTTGTTCCCATGGTTGGGTGGTTGAAACTTCATTCATGTGCTTTTCGTGAAGCAAAACATTTGAAATGGAAATGAAGTCAAAATTAAAAATTAGATGGTTAAAAGCATCTGTTGTTCCTATAGTTGCGAAGCAAGCTGGGTGGTTGAAAGTAATCTTGAAGTTCCTGTTGTAAAGTAATAGAATATAATGCGGTCTGCAGCCATATTCATTAATTGAGAGAAAATTCTAGATTGAATGTAATTGCAAAAAAATACCATGTTTTGTGCTGTGAAAAAAATCAATTGTTCTTCTATACTTTATTCATCATTTGGTAGAATACAAATCATTCTATTGTAGGATTGTGTGCATCTGAGTGCCAGAGTTTCAAAATTGTAACAGACAGAGAACAAAACTATTGGACTTTCTATTTTACATTCTTCATATTATTGAATATATACTTGTGCTCTTGAAAATTGGCCATAACCCTTTGAATCATCTTTCTTCATAATTCAAAGGACTTAAGATCTCGCTTTTTTGGATTATGTTTAGAGAATTTGATAATCCTAAGAAACATGTCTCAAGTTGTTATAAATTTACCTTATGCTGTCTTAAGTTTATTAACATTTAGATTTCTGACAGCTTTTATATTTATGAGCAAATAGCATTGCTGACATGGAAAAGTGTATTTCTATCTTGAGAAGGTTTGTCTTTCTATTTAGTAGTGCTGGGTATTTTTCTGATAAATCAGCCTGGAGTCACTTGTAGAGTTATAATCCTACAGCCTGATGTATACAGAGTTGTAATACTACATTCCAATGAGCAGTGGTCTCAAATTACATTCGGGCCAAAATCAAGATCTGAAAATGACTGGTAGGCCAAAATTTTTTCTTCCATCTCCCCAAAAAGTTTTTTTTTTTTTTTTCCAAACAAAAATGTTCTAATTAAATTTTAAGGAAGAAAGAAAGATCTACAAGAAATTTCTGATAGTTACACTTTGTGATTTAACTGTATTGACAAATAAATATTAAATTTTCTGATTGAGATTTATTTCATCTAATTCTAATGTGTTGAATAAACCATTAAGTAACTTAAACAAAAAATGAGCAAATTATGTAAACTATTCAAATTGGACAAAACACGAGAATAAATACACTCTTTTTCAAAAAAATCGAAACAATGTGAAGGAAGTGATTGTTTTTGATGAAATTGAATATGTGTATAGCTCATACATAGTTAATAAAATTATTAAAAAATCAAGGTCATAGTACCTGTTCACGGCTCACAATCACCCATTGAGTGTTCAAATTAGAAGTTGGTTGAACCCCCTCCCCCTGGTGGCAATGCATGCTTGAATTCGTCGAGCCAAGGAGTGGTAGAAGTTCCTAATGTCATCCTGTGACACATTCTGCCAGCATTCATCAGTTGTCACTCCAGATATGCGATATTTTGTGGTGCCCGAATCTGGCAACTTACTATGTCCCAGACATGCTCTAGAACTATTTCATACTAAGCATGTCTTAGATATAATTGTATTTACTGTAAAATAATAATTAAAAAAATACACAAGTCGAAATTTAAGTAATCGGCATTCTCAAAAACATATGTGCGCCATTTGCAATTTAACAAAGTGTTGCTAAGTTTCTTTAGTCATATATTTGTTCCCTAATTCCTTAAAAACACTTCAAACATAAAAACTCATTTAAAAGTGGGCTTTATTTGCCCAGTAGGCCATGAAATCTAATCTCTGGGGCATACGTGCCCATTAGGACTGAAAGGGTTAATAGTAACACAGGCTATAGGGGTATCTTTCCAATCTGAGGAGAAAGTTGGTTAAGTCAAATTAAAAAATAAAATTTTATTTAAATTCATTTAATTAGTTTAAAAGTAAAATTGCCAAAGTAAAACTGTTGTACTCGTACAGACATACTTTGGGCATGCTGTTACACTGTCCTTTTGGAACCAAATTGTATCTAGCAATTTTTTCCCCACAGTTTGGGAGATTTTCATTGTTCCACTGCAGTACTTGTTGAGGGTAAATTATACAATGTGTTTGACAGAAGGCTTTCATCAGCACAATATGCAGCTACACTAGTCAGTGATCCACTATATACTAATACCTAATTCCTTGCTTTCTGCATATATAGCTATGCCGTATGTTCATTCTGACAGAGCTGCTAATTCCAGCACAATATATGCCACCCTGTATATGCAGAAAGAATAGAAAATCATTATTGCAAAAATGTGAGCTTATTAAAAAATGAGAAAAATTTAAAAAACATGTATAGAATTAAATTAGTTTATGAATTTTATAATTCTTCTGTCTTTTCAGAATTTTTTAATGTTTAGTTGGCAGTTATTTATGTTTTAAAATGAACAAAATGTGTTTTGGAATTACACCCATGTGTAAAAGTTTAATATATAACAGTATATATACAATTTAATACATATATTAAATACATAACATTTCATAACAGATTGGTATGTTTCTCTCCTTTTCTAGGAGATATCATAATGATTGTATTTCTCCTATCATCAATAAGTTTGTAGAAAAGTAATTAATTTTTATTGATTTTACCATATTATACTTTTTTTATTTTTATTTTATTTTATTATTTATTTATTTTTTTTTTTTTTTTTTTTTGTTTCTGTGTTTAGTGTGAAAATTTTCAATTAAGAAGTTGCTTTTAAACTTTTTTTTATATGTACGTCTCAATCTTTTAATGTGATATCTTTTAAAACTAGTCATTTTGTTGCAGTTCTACCTTAAAGGAGGAACTTACTTTAAAAAATATATGAAAATTGAGATGTGTTAATAAATTATTCAATTTTTGCATAGACGTAATTTATTTATTTATTTTATTTTGTTTCAGAGAAATTATTTTGCATATATGCATGTAAATACTTCAATTAAATATAACAATATTATATATAATGTAATTGCTGTTATAAAAAAGTAGAGTATTTAATATTTATTGTTTTAAAGCATTTAAAAGTGTGCGGTTATATTATTTTGTAGAGAAGTGTTTTAAGTGCAACAGAATTGGTCATTTTGCCAGAGATTGTAAGGAAACTGAAGATAGGTGTTACAGGTGCAATGAAGCTGGTCATATAGCCAAAGACTGCGACAGTGCTCCAGATGAAAGTAATTTCATTATTAATGGTTATTTTGTGTGAAAAAATAGTATTTCTCAGAAATGTTAGTATAAATGCCAAAAATTTATCATTTCCCCCTTTATTTGCTTTTATACTTTCTAGTGTCATGCTATAATTGTGGAAGAACTGGTCATATTGCACGAGATTGCAAAGAGCATGAGAAGACTTGTTACATTTGTGGGAAGCGGGGGCATATATCTAAAGACTGCGAACAAGATGATCGTAAAGTATGTTTTAATGATGAACAGATTATTGGAGTATGTTTTTTAATTTTAAATTAGATTTTCTTTCCATCTATGTTCTAATTTTAGGGGGAGGGGAAAAAAACCTAGATAAATGCATAAGTAAGTACACTAGCAACATAGGAATAAGCATTTAGTTAGGTTGGATTATTTGATCATAACAAAGATAGTAAGGATTATGTATATCAGGAGAGGAACATTTTTGTAGACTAGCATTATATTTTTTGAGGACTATATATTTATGGAAAGGCTCATGCAGGAACTTTTAAGAACTGTCATATTTACAAGAAAGCTTAGAATTTTAATTCAGATTAAACTACCACTGTTCAGCAATTTCATCTGCTTGACCTCTGGTAGGCAGTAATAAAAAAGTAGTTTCTTCTTCTTTTCAGGCAACAATTTCTTTAGTGTGCTGTGTGTTATGATAGCAATGAAGTATTTCCTTCCAGTATATGTGCTGGTCTTTTTTTTTTTTTTTTTTTTTTTTTTGTGTGTGTGTGTGTGTGTGAAGTAATATTTTATAATGGTATTTTTTTTTTTTTGCGTGAAGTCATATTTTATAAAATTTTGTTTTCTCATTTAAAATTTTTGCATTTTATAATTTTAGTTGAAGCAATTTTTTATATAGACAGATTTTGCAAATTTAGCATTTCAAGGAGTTTTAACACAACTCTCAGAAGAAGTCCTTGAATTTTTCTCTTCTCAATTTAATTAGATCACTAATTTTTCAGTCAACATTGATTAAATTGTTAGCGAATGAAATTCATACCAGCTCAAACTTTCTATAACTTTTCTCACAGTTTTGTATTATTTTTACTTCACAAGTAATTTCTTTCATGTTTCTTTAACTTAGACTATTTTAAGTTGTGCAGAAGCACTTATTTTTTTATTTCTAGCCAATGGCCAAAGAGCGCAACACCAAGTAGAGGTCAAAACTCCCAGCAGTTGATGCCTTGAGAACCACCAATGATGTCCGATGTCCATAGATTAGATATTAATAATTTAAAAAGTTGTATAGGAGGTGGAAAATTTTGAATTGACATTAACCCATTAGAGCCCTAACTATTTTTCATAGAAGAAATCAGATAAAAATCTTGATTCTGAGGTATTATTCCTTTAATTTGAATACAGTCAAAAGTCATTAATTCGGACACCCATAATCTGGAATGATCTATAATCCTAACCTCAAAGCTACAAACTTCATGCGCATGTGTCGCGTTGACGCATGCACGTAAGACCTTTACGGCTGCGAATATGCGTGTGCACATGCGCAAAATATGTTTACGAATGCGCGTTTAATGTATAACAGACGGTATAAGCTAAGCTAAAATTATCTAATTCAGTTAATGTTGCAGATTGCATTGTTCCTTAATCTTCGAATTGGATTCGGCTTATTATTTTTTGCAGACTGTTAGAGCAATTTGATAAAAGTAAGCTTGAACTTTCGATTATTTCAAATAGAATTTCTGATATATATTTGCTAATATGTAAAGGATCTACAAAGCAAAAGTATGTTTCGAAGTCCATTAAACAAAAAGTGGAATTGCTGCAAAAAATGGATAAAGGCATATCTTTGTTTATCTTATAACGTTGCGCGCCTCTAATTAGCACGCAACCTAGAGGTGACTGTGAAAGCTTGTATAAACCACAGAGTCTTATAAAGGGTTTAAGTCCCTTTTTATTCAACGTAATAAATTACAATGGCGTCCTCTTGACGCTTACAGACTGTGCCCACTAGGCAGTCAAATAAAAATAATAACCTGAAAAAGAAAGTAAAGACAAGCTTCTAACTACGAGGCTCTCTAAAATAACTAACTCGCCGCGTTTTACAAATGCCGCAGCTAATTCAGCAGACTTGAAGCTCACTGGAACAATTGCAACTACTTCCCGCCAAGCACATAGGCCGCAACGCGGGGTTCTTCAATTCTCGATAACTACCTCCGCGCTCGCTAAGTAAGAATAACTGTCTCGTTTCCTTCTATTTAAATCATACTACTTCCGCTGATAATTTGAATGCTTGCGCGTTCTACTCAAATTTACATATTCTGGCATTGGCAGTTCCAGGGGGAAAGTAAGGATTGACAGGAAAGATAGTTTAAACTTAAAATAAATGTTAGGTTAAAATAAATATAAAACCCTACATTTGCCGCCGCTGCCAGAATTTGGAAAACTTGGAAGCGGTCCTACAAACGACCTGTTGTAAGTTTTTATCTAATTCTGAACTAACTGGCGAAAGCCTCGTTTACACAAAAAAAAAAAATCTTATGTAACAATTATATATTAAAATTCTGTTATTCGTTTACAAAGCTTTCTTCTTACAGCAACTTTTCCTGGACTTCATCAATCAATCTTGGTCTTTCCTTCCAGCATCTGGAAGGAATAAGTATCAGTATCTTTCTACATACATTATAATTTACACTTTCTTGACACAATAAATTTTTGTTTTTAACGATTCGTTTTTCTTAGTTATTGCTTACTTCACATTCATTCAATTTTTCAAGCATTAATTTAACTTTACCCTGGCTGTCCACCATGTGTGGTGTCAAACGGGAATATTCGTGTTTTAGTCTTACAACACTTCCCCTAACCACCATGATTTGTTAGAAATCAACTACCAAATAGACACACCTTACTCGACATTCTACAACTCAATGAGCTACTTTTAATTCTTAAAATTCAAATGTAGGTGGAGAACCCTACAAAAACACATTCATTCTAACTTCCCCCTCATTCATCTTTAAACATGCAGGCTTTCGCTCTAAAGCATGACTTTACAGTTTAATACTTAAATTTTGACTTCATTGCTTTTAAGCATTCATTCACTTTTAGCATCTACAATTTTATGCTTCTAGACTAAATTCTACTTTTACATAACATGCAAGTATTTACATACATTTACAAAAGTTTAATACATATACTTTTTACTATTTACCATAAAATGAATAAGAGAAAATAAATTTTTACTTTACTCATTCTTCGCCAAGCTGGCGGTACTGAAACTAAAATTCTTATTAGTACAAGAATACGAAGTTATTTTTATCTCCGGCCAAATTTTGGCTTTAACATAACAGAATTAGTCTTTCGACCAACAGAAAATGCTTGTTTTTAGCTTTTACACTTAAAGAAAATAATACTTTTGCCTTAGCTAAATAAAGTAAAACAAAAAAACTAAGTCTCAACCGAGACATATTGACTTTCGTCAAAACACATAGAACTTCGTACTTATGCATAACATTTCGGAACAAAAGAGAAAAAAATTTATAGAAGGTTTTAACTTATCTTTGAGTTTTCGATGCTTGAAACTCCGTCATCCGTTTTTGACAAAATTGATCCCAAGTTAGAGGTGTCATGGATGTCAATCTTCTCCTTATTGATCTCCGAGTTGTCGTTCCCCTTTGCTGCTCTTTCTTTTGCGTCCTCTACATGCTGGCCTCTTGACGGAGAGTAATCGTCTGGTTGTTTGGCCTTTGCGTTTCTGCCTGGGACGGCTGGTCTTGACGTCCTCCGGTCTGGAGTCCTTCTTGAATTTCTTCTGTTCCTCGTATTCTTGTGCCTCCTGTTGCGTTTCAGTTTTCAGTTTCCTCCGGAACGGCGGCCTTGCTGGCACCTGACTCTGTGGCCCGTGTGCGCGTTCTCCTTGATGTGTAATTTCTCCTGCCATCCTTTTGTAGGTGGTGTTTTCGTCTTTACCTAACGGTTTCTTTACCACCCGGTTCATCTGTATTTTTGTTTTTCTTAAACGCCGGAGTTTGAAAATCATTTTTTCTTTTTGATAACCGGCGTCCGGGTTGTAGAAGTGCTAGGTCTCTCTTCAGTTCTTTGTTTCTTGGGTGGTGGAATAGTTGTATCTGGCCCTTCTATTTCGTTTAGACTTGAGTCCTGCAAGAAACTTTTAAGGATTTCAAAATCATTTGGATTATAGTATTTTTTCACCTGGTCGGGACTTGCTTTACAGATTTCCCCTCTCTTGTTTTTAAGATATAAGACTACTCCTTTGATTTCCTGAATTACATAGGGGCCTTCAAACTTTGGAGCTAGCTTTGCGATAAAATTGTCTGGGGCACTTGATAAAGAAAATTTCCGTTTCAATACTTTATCCCCAACTTTAAAATCTGCTTCACGGCGTTTTCTATCATAATATAACTTCTGTCTATTTCTTGCCATATCCGAGGTTTTAAGCGCCTGATCAATCAACTTTTGCACGTCTCGTTGTCTAAATTCCTGCTCTCTTTGTTGCACAAAGAATAATTTATCTAAAGGCGTAATTAACTTTCTGCCTAAAAATAATTCTGCTGGAGTTTTTCCCGTAGTATCATGATGTGCCGTTCTTAAAGCATAAGCTAATTCATTTATGTAGCCATCCCAGCGCTTGTGATGTGTGCTCACGTAACTGCGAATTATTTTTACTATGTTTTTATTAACTCTTTCTGCTATGTTAGCGTGTGGTCTATACGGAACCATTTTGATATGGCGTATGCCAAGTCCATTGCATATGTTTTCAAATATTTGACTAATGAATTGTTTTTTCCGTTATCGCTAATGACTTTTATCGGTGCACCGTATTTTAAAATGTATCTGTGTAAGAATGCATCTGCGACTGTTTTGGCTGACGCGCGTTTAAGTGGAACAATTTCTATCCATTTTGAAAAATGATCTACTATTACTAAAAGAAAACGATTTTTATTTAACTCGCTCTGGGGGAAGGGACCAAGGAGATCTATGCCTAAAATTTCATTCGGAAATGTAGCGCGAATGCTATTTAAGTACCCGGCCGTGCTGTAATTAATATCATTTATTAACTGACATTGATTGCAGGACCTGACATACGCCGTTACTATTTTGTATAATTGCGGGAAATATATACCGCCCTCGCGTACCCTTTTTATAGTCTTTCTGACCCCGAGGTGGCCCGCTGTTTTTTTTCTCGTGCAACTCCTTCAAAATGCTTAATCGAAGCGAGGCTGGGGATGACTGGCTTATACTCA